AAAAAAAAACCCCCCCCCCCCCCCCCCGCCCCATCCAGAGCTCTGGGTGCCCTGTGAAACTTGTCCACCCAGGGAAAAGCACGGGACATAATTAGGTTTTTGGAAAATCGGAAGTTATACATGGATTTTTGACTGCATGAGGGGTCTGCACCCCTAACCCCCCCCCCCCTTTGTTGTACAAAGGCCAGCTGTTTATTATCCTGTTCCATTGCTAACCCTATGAGACCCAGTAGGATCTAGGTGACCTCTGTCCAGCAAATTTCCTTTAGTTTGGCAGGACCTGGGGTTTTCAGGTATTACATGGTACAAGTTACATCATAAAATTGAGGGATTACCATCTTTGGTACTGCATTACCAAAGATGGTTTTGACCTTGGGGCATGTATCCCATGAAAGGGAGACATTTTTTTACTTAAGATTTAATTTTAGCCTCAGATTTTGAACAGATTAAGAATTTTAGGCTAGCAGTTTTTCACAGACTTGGATAGCTGCTGTAGAACGTTTACTTTGAATAGAGGGTAACCCTGGTTTAATGGTTTTTTTTGGATGTATAGAGTCTTCATCTAACACAGTGGTTATCAAAGTGTGGTCTCTAGACTTCTAGACATTCCCAAGACCCTTCCAGGGGGTTGCAAAGTCAAAACTGTTTCCATACCAATGCTGTGATGGTTGTTCTCATGATTTATCAGTCTTCAAACAGGAATAATAGTTTACCCAATCTCCAAGATTAATAATTTATTCTCCTCCTTTCCTCTCTCTTTTCTTTTTCTTCCTTTCTCTCTTCCTCCTTTCCTCCCTTCCTTTTCTGTTCTTTAGTATGCCCATGCACGTCTGTTTCCTCATCTCTAAAGTGAGGGTATTAATAATATTCACCTCACTGGATTGTTTTGAAGATTAAATGTGTTAACATAAGTAATGCATAAAGTGCTTAAAGCAGCACTGGCACATACTAGTAAATGTTATTAATGTTAACCATTATTGTTAATGTTACTGTTTGGTTCCCACCTCTTTGGTTGTAGGCTTAAACAGTTTATGGCACCACTTACTATAATTTCTCAGTTTAATTGAATAGTGTGTGAAATAATAAAATAAGGGGGCCTAGAAAGATTTGTTCATTCCAGGAAAACTAGATCGAATGGTTGAAAAAAATGTTGCTTTAAAAAAAACAAATACAAAAAACAACTTACATAATTTAGGGTGAGTGAAACAATTGGAAAGATTGTAAAACAATTGGAAAAATTATAAAAGTCTAGATAGTTTTTATACTCCAGTTACTTCCCAAGTAATCAGAAGAACTCCAAAATAAGGATTTCATAAAATTGTTGGTGAGTTACTGTAATGTAATGTTTTTTTTTTTTTTTGTCTTTTTTTTTGTCTTTTTTCCGTGTCTGGCAACGGATCGCAACCCTCAGTGTTGCCCCCGTACCGGACTGGGGACTGGCAACGGGATTGCAACCCTCGGCGTTGCCCCCGCGCCTCGCTCAGCCAGTGAGCGGGAACCGGTCTGTATGTGGGATCCGAACCCTCGGGCGTGAGTGCCACCGCACTTCCCAAGCGGCGCACCATCCAGTGCGCCACAGGGCCGGCCCATAATGTAATGTTTTTAATTAAAGTAAAATAATTAAGATGCATTTGAATTTTAAATGATTTGCTTTTAAAACCAACTTTTTGGATTAATAGATCAACCACTGTTCCCTATTGCATTGGAAAAGTGAGTCCTACTCGAATTAATAGAAGGGAAGGGGAAAGACTAAAAAGATTACATAAAATCATTGTGTCTATAATTATATTTAAGAGATTTAGGTGCAAAAAACAGATACATAGGAAGTATAGCAATCATTAATGTACTCTAATGATAACATTGTATTGAAAAGTTAAGGTAATGTACTTACTGTATTTGCCTCAGAGAAGAATTGATAGGAGACTATATGACATAAATAATTATGAGACCCTTTCTTTAGGGATTTACAATAACTAAAGCTCAAGTTTGAGATATTCTCTCTCTGTTCCCCCCACCCCATTTTCTACTTGTAGGGACCGGGTTGTAGCAGTTTTTGTGCAGGGTCCTGCATGGCAGTTCAAAGGTTGGCCGTGGCTTTTGCCTGATGGATCACCAGTTGACATATTTGCTAAAAGTAAGATTCTCTTTATATTTACTGCTTATCCCATAAAGAAATGTTCTCACTTTACTTAAGAGAAAGAGCCATATATGGTTTTGCATATATGAGGTGTACATCAAAGGATTGCCATTAAGTAACACGTATAATGTTAATTTTTAAGCACCTACGAAATGTTTTCAAAAGGCTTTTGTACATCAATACATTATGTGTAGTTAAATCTAAAAATGAATATTGCTTATCCCATATTAATAATTATTTTTTAGGTTGTTTAAAATTATTAATATTGTTGCATATCCATACATTTTGATTAAAATTGATCACCAGTTTTAAATGGGTTTTTTGATGAACAGGAATGTGTAACTGTAACTTAAAGTGCCATAGGACCTCTACCAGCCATTCCCATCATCTTGAGTGATTGCAGCATGACTGGCTTTTTCTCTTCATTCAGATCTCAGCTCAGATGTTCCCTCTTCAGAGAATCCTTCTCTGACTATCTTGTTTGAAATAGCCATCACCTCCTCCCAGTTGCTTTCTAAGCTGTTTTATTTTTTTGATAGCACTTATATAACTTTTATATATTTATTGGAACTCTTCCCTGGCCTCAGTCAAGTTCCACAACAGCAGAGGCCTTTTCTACTTTATTCACCTTTGTGTCCTCAGCATAGAAGAGTGCCTGGAATAGAGAGGCTCTCAATAAATATCTGCTGATTTATTTCATGCAGCTGATATCTTTTATTAAACATATTGGTATAAATTGATGTAATAAAAGTAGATTAAATTAACCTGTTTATTTGCTAAAAAGGATATTTCAACAATTATTTAATTGTAGTACTCAGTTAAAATAGCAACATTAGTAATTAATTATAAGTCATTTTTATGGAACAAATATGCTTATTAGAAATGGCAACTTAGTTATTATGAATATAGATTATACCACTGTGAAATCCAGCCTTTTAGCAATCCCAGTTTTTGTTAGTGGTACCACCATTTTTTCATAGAAGCTGCCCAAGCTTGAAAGTTTTATCATTTGTTCTTCTGCTACCTTCATTCATTTTAAAAAGTGAGTTCTAATATTACTGATATTATGATAGGCTTTTATGTTATTTCTGAAACTTGAATAATACATAACGAGTTGGTAAATAAGAGTTAATGTAGAGAGAGAATGGAAGTTTTAATGAAAATAAAATGTTTGTGAATGCTGTCTTGTATCTACTTGTTTGCCTTGTTGAATAGTATAACAGAAAAATGTTTAGAATAGTCAGGAGGTAAATGCTCTCTGAATTTCATTAAGTATGTAGCGATGGCTTTATTATTGTTTGTGTTCTCTCATTAAGAATTTAGAGAATTTTAACAGTAATCAATGATTTTCCTGCATGAATTATTCTTTCCCTTTAGCCTTCTTTCTGTGCTGGCTCCTTTTTGTCAGCTGCTTCTCTTTTTCCAACTACATTTTTGAAAGAATTATCTCCACTAACTTTGTATTGAATTCTCAATCCACTGTAGTCTGGCTCTTACTCTCAACTAAAACCAAACTGTTCCCACCAAGGTCACCAGTGACCCAAGTATTGGATACTTTTGACCTCTTATTAAAATTTGACTCTGTTGACTTATTCGCTCCTTTTTAAAACATTATTTTCCAAGTTCTTGTTACACTTTATCTTAGATTCCCTTACTACTTTTCCTCTGACTGTCAACTGTATGTTTATGTTCCCATTTTTCTTCTCCTTTAATTCTGAATACCCTCTCAAGGAGATCTGATAGCTTTCGATTACCATCTGTGTCTCCTTGTTCTGGAAGTTATGTCTCTAGCCTTATATTTTGAGCCTACATACCTCACTGACTACCAGATAACTCCTCTATGATGTTCCATTGTTACGTCAAACTCAACCTGTTGTAAATCGAATTGATCATCTTATTCTTTTCCTCATTCTCAAACTATTTCTTGTACTCAATTAGTTTTTTCCGTAATTTGCCTAAGCCAGAAATTTAAGATGGTCTCACTGCTTTCACTCTTCTGGCTTCCCACCCTTTCTCCATTTTAATACACATAGAAAATGTTAATATCTATATAGCATATGGGAAAAACTGAGGGTATTTGGGAGCATCTGTATGGACCTTGGTAAAAACTTTTATTATATTTTCTTAATATTGCATAATTATAATACTGTGCACAGTTTTAGAGAAGATAGCATATGTCGAATTGCATAAAATTGTCAAATAAAATCTTTTCAAAATTATGTTTGAGGTTGTAACTGGATATAACTTTATTTATTTACTGATGTTTTGATTTTTATTGGTTATGAATATTCATGGGGTACAAAGCAAACTGTCACCACTTGTGCCTAAGATGTGATGGCCAGAGCCGTACTGGCAGCATGCCCATAGCCACAAATTGTGATTATACCCTGTGTCCCCCACCCATTTATCCCCTCAGTTATCTCTGACCTCCCTCCCCATCCCCTTTTCCGCACTCCACATTGTATCCCTAGGTCTGCTCTCTCCCTCTGCAAGTCCAACGCACCACTGTGGTCTTTCTTTCCTTTCTTCTTTCTCTCTTAGCTCCCACTTATGAGAGACTGCATACGGTATTTATCCCTCTGTGCTTTGCTGATTTCACTCAACATAAGTTTCTCCAAGCTCATCCATTTTGTTGCAAATGGGAGAATTTCATTCTTTTTTATGGCAGAGTAGTAGTCCATACTGTATATATACCACATTTTCCTTATCCAGTCATCCATCTATTGATGGACATTTAGGTGTGTTCCATATTTTGGCTGTTGTGAACAGAGCTGTGATGAATGTGGGAGTGCAGGTATCTCTTTGACATAATTAATATCCATAATATACAAGGAACTCAAGCAATTATACAATTAAAAAAAAAAAAAAAACCCAGTTAAAAAATGGGCAAAAAACCTGAATAGACATTTTTCAAAGGAAGACATACAAATGGCCAATAGGTACATCAAAAAATGCTCAACATCACTAGTCATCAGGGAAATGTAAATTAAAACCACATTGAGATATCATCTCACCCCAGTTAGACTGGCTATAATCAAAAAGAATGAGAATAACAACTGCTGGCGAGGGTGTGGAGAGATGGGAACACTCCTACACTGCTGGTGGGACTGTAAATTAGTACAACCACTATGGAGAACAGTATGGAGGTTTCTCAAACAACTACAGATAGATCCTCCATTTGATCCAGCAATCCCATTTCTGGGTATATACCCAAAGAAATGGAAATCATCATGTTGAATGGATATAACTTTAAAAAAAATATTTTATGCTTGATCAAAATTTTTTAATGATAATTTCTTCAAATTCATGCTAGTTACCATTGAGAAAAATTTTTTATTTAATGATCTTCTGTGTTGTGTTGTCCTTTTGTCATTTGTCATGCCAAAAGTGTATCTAAATAGTATTCAAACGGACACCTTTTGTTTTTCTTTTTGTTTCATTGTTCTCCCCCCAAAATTGTAACAGAATTTATGGAGTTTGCAAAAATGAGCAATTCCGAATTGCGTGAAATATTTTGCTTTTGTATTCATTATGCCACTGTATAACTTGCTGCTTGTAAAAGAACTTTGTTTCTTCTGATTTTACTTACAGAGGCTTACAAATTTTAAATCTTTTTCTAGATAAGAAAGATGCTTTATGGTAATGGTGTAAGTTTGCTTGGCACCATTGCTTCATGCAAATAAAGTATTTTGTCTGATGAGAGAAACCTCATTATGTTTTCTAATTAGTGACATAACTTTTTGGACTCTAATATTCCAGCTTTGATTTAAAAAGTTGTTTATTCTGGTAGAAAATTAAATATCAATAAATATTAAATCTATTAAAATTATTAAAAGAGACTGTAGGCCTTTATGGCTTCAGATGTATTTTTAAAAATATAACATGTATTTTAAAGAATGATTTAAAGTAATCACCGAGCAAATTAGAAAAGCAAAACATGTAGTAAGCAGAATAGAAAATATTGAAATGTTGACTTAGTTTAATTCAGTAACTTAAATATTTTAAAAATTGACAAAAATATTTCTTTCACACATATAAAAAATAAGTATTTTGAAAATGGGCTTCCGAACCCCATAACATGTATCCCCTTTAATGAATTTGTTTAATTATTTGTTTAAAATCAAAATGAATAACTTATGTCCAGTGAAGAGACTTTTATTTCTAAGAGCAACTAATTTAAAAATAACATTAATGTTATATACTAAACACAAATTATTCATTTCAAATTTTCATCAAGAATTGAACCTTGATTAGTCGTTAACGTCAAAAGCTAATATGCCAGCAAACAGTATGTAACAAGCAATTCATAAAGTAGCTACCAAAAACTTTTAGCAAATTTGGTTGATTTCTTTTTAGAAACTTCTGTTACCAGTTGATGGTAGTGATAATAATAATCATAGGCTAGTAAGAAAGTCAAAAATTAGAAAAAAAACCCAAAAATTGAAGAAAAATAAAGCTACACATTTTACATGTGCACATGCAAAGCAAGCTCCATTGATGATAAATGGATTGCAAACATGGTAACAAACTAGGTGGGATGATTTAACTGGATTATCAGGGAGAGGAAAAGGATTGTAAGTCAATATTTTATCCCCCCCCCCCCCAACCTGTTTACAGTACACACCAGTTCAGGAAGTTTTGCCCTAGAGTCTGTCATCAACCCAACACCCAGAGTTATCTTTTAAAAATGAAAATCACATTCGACCTTTTGCTCTAAACTTTCTAGTGGCTTAATATCACGTTTGGTATAAATTTTAGATTTCTTTGCACAGTAGCTGAGAAAATTCTACATGTAGGTATTGCCTACAAAAAAATTATACTTGTTCAGAGGACATTCCAAACTTGCTCCCATCTTAGGACCTTTGTGTGAGCTGGTGTTTGAGCCTGAAATCCTCTTCTGCCACATCTTTGCAAGATTTGCTCTTTCAATCACCTACTTCTAGGTAACCTCCACAAGAGGCCTTCCCTGAACACCCTATCTAAAATAACTTTCCATACACTTTTATTATCTAAACTCCTTATGCTCCTTTTATACTTTCTGAATATTGGATATTTATCTGTTTAACTGTTTGTTGACTATTAGAATATAAGCTCCCTGAGCACGGAGACTATCTTGGTCACTGCTGTATCCTCAGTGCCTAGAGTAGTGCATGATATGTGGAAGGCACTCACTAAATGTCAGATATGTCTTTGTAATTTTTTTCTTTTTCGCATTTTGTCATTTCTGACCAAGTCTCATTAGTTCTTACTCCCCGATTATCTTTTGAATTTTTCTCTTACTATCCATGTCTTCTATCCAATTGAAGAACTTCCTTTCTGTCCTCTAGATTGCTAAATTGTATCATTAATAGTCTCTGCTAACCACTTTGCAGTGATTCTCCATGTTGCTTAGATAAAAGTTCAAACTCCTTAATGTGGCCTACAAGTCCAATATTGCTCTGAACCTCTATGGTCTTATCTCTTCCCTATATTACTTTGCATGATACAGATCTGTAAATTTCTTCAGTTCCTAAACTAAACCATTTTCTCTTTGGGCATGCTCTTCTTGACTTGGGTTGCTTTTCTGTGCTTGCTTAATTCTTACGTGACCTTTAGGTCTCAGGTTAGTCATCACTGCTTGTGCAGGCCTTTTCTGACTGCATTTATGGTGTGGGTAAGGTACTTTTGTGTTTCTATGATACCCTACTACCCTTAACATACAGTATGTGAATAGTTTTTTTCTTATTGTCCTTCACTGGACCACATGCATTTTATCTTACCTCATTCCTCATTTCAGTCCCTATGGCTGGCATGTATAAACCCTCATTAAGTATTTGCTCAAGCACTTGAAGTTTGAATGATCCATGTGATGTCCATTGATCAAAAAAATTTTTTTGGACAGTTTTTTTTTAATTGAAGCATAATTGATTGTACATACTTGTGGGGTACAGATTTGAATATCAATATCCATGTCCGATATGTGGTGATCAAATTAGGATTAGTATATTCGTGTTTACAAAACATAGTCAATCTTTGTGACCCTTAACCAATTCCTCGTTAACGCCCCTCCCTCTCCCTGTCCCACCTCTAATCCCCACAGTTCTGTTCTCTCTTTTATTAAGAGCTCAATGTATTATTGTGGTGGTTGTTTCTTTCTACCTTCGTTTGTTTGTTTCTTAATATTTTTAGCTCCTATTTATGAGTGAGGACATGTGGTATTTCTCTTTCCATGCCTGGTTTATTTCACTTAACATAATTTTCTCTAAGTTTATCCATGTTGCTGCAAATGGCAGAATTTCATTCTTTTTTTTATGGGTGAGTAGTATTCCATTGAGTATATACCACATTTTCCTTACCCAGTTGTCTGTTGATGGGCACTTAGGTTGGTTCTAACTCTTGGCTGTTGTAAATAGAGCTGTGATAAATGTGGGAGTGCAGGTATCCCTTCGACATTATGATTTCCATTCCTTTGCGTATATTTCCCCAGCAGTGGGGTTGCTGGATCATATGGTTCTATCTCTAGTTGTCTGAGGAACTTCTGTACTGTTTCCCACAATGGCTACCCTATTTTACAGTCCCCCCAATAGTGCAGGAGGGTTCCCGTTCTCCACATCCTCACTGGCATTTATTATTCTGTCTTTTTGATAATACCTAGTCTAATTGGGGTGAGATGATATCTCAGTGTGGTTTTGATTTACATTTCCCTGATGCTGAGTGATGTTGAGCATTTTTTCATGTGTCTGTTGGCCATTTGTATATCTTTTGTAAATGCCTGTTCAACTCCTTTGCCCATTTTCAATCAGGTTACTTATTACTGTTAAGTTGTTTGAGTCTTTGTATATTCTGGATATTAATCCCTTGTTGGATGCATAGTTTGCAGATATTTTCTCCCATTCTGTAGGTTGTCTTTGTTGAATTGAATGTTTTTGAGGATTCTGTAGTGCTTAGCATGTGTTATTTAAAAGATCACTGTATAGCTTCGGTTGGTGGAAGAAAGATGGAATTTTTTTTTAGGTTTTCTGGTTAATATCTGTTAGATGTATTTTTTATTCTTACTTTTAAAAATATTTGTTATTCTATAAAATGTTTTTATTATTTTGAATATAGTTGGAATAAAAAAATTACTCCCCCCACTTCCCATATAGTTAAAGCCTTCCATCTCAAGTATGATGAAGTCCGTCTAGATCCAAATGTTCAGAAGTGGGATGTAACAGTATTAGAACTCAGCTATCACAAACGTCATTTGGATAGACCAGTTTTCTTACGGTTCTGGGAAACATTGGACAGGTAATTCCGATCCTAACATATACTTACCTATGCTTTATTGTAGTAATTTTCCTGTCTGCTCAGTTAGATTTTAAGTTTCTTAAAGTTGCAAACCATATTCCCCAGTGTCCTTTGAACATTGTCTAGTTTGCTGTTCTACAGTAGAAAATTAACAAATATTTTTGATATATCTACTTTAGAAATAGAGGGAAAAGAGCTGATAGCCTTGTTTATAACTGTGGTTTTGTGATCTGGCTCTAATGAACTGTGTGACCTTCCTTTTTTTTTTTTTCCTTTTTGTCTTTTTTCGTGACTGGTAACGGGATCGCAACCCTCGGTGTCACGCCCGCACCATGCTCAACCAGTGAGCGGACCAGTCTCTGTATGGGATCTGAACCCTCGGTGGGAGCGCCGCCGCGCTCCCAAGCGCCGCACTCTACCGAGTGCGCCACCGGGCTGGCCCAGAACTGTGTGACCTTTCTGAACCTAGTTTTCTGTCTATCCAAGGAGTTTGGATTAAATGATCCCTGTGTTTTTTGCAAGCACTGAAAGGTCTCTGACTGATTTATTTGAGTTCTGGGTAGCTCATGAAAGGAATTCAGTTTTAAAATTTATTTTAATTACTAGTATAAGTAGTATTCTCAAAACCCTTTACATTAATAACTTTTGTAATTGGCAAATTTAAGAACAGCATATAATCACACTTAATACCACTGAATTTATTGTTCTCTTTGAGGTTCTTCTTAAAAATCTGTAATTTTCTTGGTATAAGTTTTTCACTAGATGTTATAGGTTTCCTCAAAGTCAGAGGTGACTAAGGTAACGCAATATGATTATAACTGATAATATATTAAAGTGAAACATTTATTCTAGCTAGAAGCACTTAAATTATAGAATTTAATAAGAGCAATGTTTCTTCTAAGTTACTTCAGAAATACTTATATTCCCAAAGGTTACAGTATTAAGTTTCTAGTTACTTAGAAGACAGAACATTCTGTTTCACTGTTGATTTAAATTTTAGGAAATGTCAACTTATTTTTACATGTAATGTTCTAAAAATTCTAAAATTTCTATATTCATTATAACCTATTATAATATTTTTTTTTCAGGTACATGGTAAAGCATAAATCTCACTTGAGATTCTGAATTATTTGGTTCCCCCATTTATGGAAATCTGGATTAAGAAGTATGGATATACCTTGAACTAAAGACTGAGACTCAAGCTTTATGAATTTATCAGGAACTTATAAATGAAGAAGGTCACAGATTGATCTTTTATAAGACCTTATTTGATGCTTTGTGCTTCAAAGGGATGATGCCTGTCATCCATATAAGCAACTTTTTGGCTTATAACTATTTTTTTAATATTAGCCTTGTAGTCTGTAATGGAAATTGTATATTTTGATAGAAGTTTTTTCTCCATTGGTTAAATTAGCATTACTTAAAATTTGTTTCTTTAGAAAATAAATACAGGTTATAAATGTGTGTATATTTAGAGGTTATAAGGCTCTCAAAGCCATCTCGCTTCTGATTTTTCATTGCTCTATAATTCCTTTTACTGAAAAGACTGTGTTATGAATGGTATTAAATTTTAGTGTCTGTAACATTCAGAACTGAGCAAAGGGATGTGACTATTTTGAATGAATCAAAATGTCCACCTGTATGTATACTATACCTACACTTACTCTTTATTTAAAAACGGAATGGTGAAAAATCAAGAACAATTTTCAGCTTTGGTTGAACTGTTCAGCCTTTTCAAGACTTCTTTACTTATGAATGAATACATTTAATGAATGTACATTCTTTTCACTGACTTTGGTGATTTTAAAACTTAGAGTGATATATTTCTGTGATATCTTTCCTTTTGAAAAATCTCAAAACACAGATTAAAAATATAATAGGCTCTAGTACTTTCATTTTGGGAGCCAGAGTATGATTTGGGGGAAAGAGTATGTATCAGCTTTATTGCAGTGTAACTTTAACTTCTTTATCTTTTCTCATAAGTCCAGCTTTGATTCTTATTTTATATGGTATAGTATTTTGAGTCTTCTGTTTCTGGGCTTGTCAGTCTTGGAGTTCTTATCTTTTGTTATCCCTAAATATTGATAAACTCCCAGGCACCAAAGAACATGTTTGCTTACTTAAGTGTCTGAACAGAAACAAGATAAAAACGCTGGTATTTTTATGTGCATATTTAATAGGGTATAAAATACAAAACCTATATTTTATCTTAGTAAACTATTTTACTATTTCTCTACTTTAGACAGAATGTTGCATCCAAGGTACAACGAATGACCATTCTCCTTGAGTATTGATTTCACCTTTTACTACTTAAAAGAAACTAGGAACCTATGCTCCCCTACATTGTTTTTTGCCATTAGAATTTTTGCTGATCATTAAGTCCTGTTGTCATTTTTTCCCCCCATTTTCCCCCCACCATGATTCTCTCTTAGGTTAACATGTTTTTAGTAAACATCTAACACTTTCATATGTGTTAAGCTGACATTACCTAGCCTCTTTTTGAAATTTAATGCTATCATAAAAATGAGAAGCAATTATTTATTTTTTAAGTAGCCACAAAAGTTCTTGCCAGTAGTAAATAGAAAAGATATTTATTCATATGAAATTCACAAGGCTCTTCATAAAAAAAGCAATCAGCATTTAAAAATATTAGATTTTAATATATTTAAAAGATTTGAACAGATCTTGCCCATTTTTTCCTTCTCTGCATCCCTCTTCTTGAAGATAAAAGAAAACAAATTTGTTTACATTAGAATTTGTCAGCATATAAATCTGTTTTCAAAATAAATTATGTATTGTGTAAACTTTCTCCATGATGAAATAGTCAAGAACTAAAATCTGTAATATTGTAATGTGAGATTACTTGTTAAGACTACTACAAATGGACATGAACTACCTTTCCATAAAGATTTTTGGTATTTATTCTTATATATATAATTTACTTGATAAAGAGTATGAGTTAAATTTGGGAACATCTACTTCGAACAGGGTTTATTTTTTTATTTTGAATTTGCCTATGTATATTGAAAGGCTTGTGGAAATACTGTATGGAACATTAGGAAAAATACAAATATGCTATACCCTGTATTTTAAAATCAGACTTCTAGTATGTATTTTTTTTCTTCGTTTTGACAGTTTAGTTCCATATTTAGGTCCATGTAATTAATTTTATAACCATTAATTCTAAAAAAAAAAAGTCCCAAACTTTCAGCCAACCACTATTTATTCTCCCATGACTCAGTTCTACAGCAGCACCTAACACAGCACCTTGTGCGTAGTAGGCATTCAGTAAATATTTGTATGCATGAATGAATGAATGATGTATTTTCAGTGTAACTGATTTATTACAAAGTAATTTGAGTATACTTGGTCTTAGAGTTTGAGAATACAGAATTTCAGGAAGTGAAGAGGCGTAAGTAGATATTTTGATGGAAACAAAGTGTGTATTAATAACTTGACTTAACCCCTAGTTACTATTAATTGGAGACCCCCTTGTTTGCCCTGCCTATGAAGGAAGCTCTGTTTCTTTATTCATAGGACACTCTTCTGAGTCAGGTAACAGTAAGAAATATGTAAGTTTCAATCAATACCTCTCCACCCTGATTACACATCAGAATTGTTTGAGGAGTTTTTAAAAATACCCATGTCTGAATCCTGATTCTGATTCAGTTTGTCTGGCATAAGACCTGGTCATCACTATTTTTTAAAAAGTTCTCCAGGTAATTTTAATGTGCAGGAAGGATTGAGAATCACTGGTTTAATTTGTTACTGAAAACAGTACCAGTATTAAATGTAATTATACCTCCTTTTCTTCTACTTTTGTGTGTGTGTTTTTTTTTTTCTTTCTTTTTTTTCTGTGGGCACTCTTTGCACTAGACCATCCCCATGATTTGGAGGTATTGGCCTTTTTTCCCATATGACAAATTTAGATCTTATTTATTTAATATAGAAGGTGTATTTTACTGTTTAATATTTAAACAATGTTTAATATATTTCATTATTAACTAATATTATAGTTTATGGTTTTTTCCCGATGTGTTCATATCCTTTACTAACTTTTCATTTTTAGCGGCAGCACAATAATTCATACAGAAATAACATTCATAATGAGGAAAATCTCATAATTGATTTTTAAGTTACAAAGAAGTAAAGTATTAATTTCTTATCTGCCATGCAGAATGAGACAAATACAGTTTGCTTATTAAAGGAAAGAGGCATACTTTTAAATTAGTCTGCACAGAAAAGTATAAGTAAACTATTTCATTTAAATAAAATTCATTATCTAATAAACATTGAAGGGAGTATTTTTCCTAAATAAAAACTTTTGTGACTCCTAACAAAATTCAAGTGATGACATTGTTCTTTTTTGGAGGGTGGGAGGGAGTATTTGTTGAACTAATGTAGTATATAAAATTCTTTGAGACTAGCAGTATATTTTGTAATATTACAAATATAACAGTTTCAAAACCTGGTCAAAGTTAGTGACTTAGAAAGTGGCTTAAAACTGTGTTTTGAAATTGCTTGTTTAAATGCAAAATTACAACCAAGGTAGAGAAGGTTTTTTTTCAGAGAAGTTTATTAAAGATTTCACACACATACTTTTAAAAAAAAGATTCTTCATAAAGAAATTGTTGGTTTATCTTGTTACAGTTCACATGGAGTGCTGTAATTTGTAAAATAAAAACTATAGAAATTTGTTCTCCACTGAAAAGTTGGCAGCTGCTGTTTTTCAAAAAAAAAAAAAAAGATGCAAATTCAATTTAATTACATTAGCCTTAATATTACTAGACTGAATTTCTAGTATTTATTCACTTGGGTTTGAGATTCACCTGAGTATTCTAATAATAGTATATTAACTTTAGAAATAAAAAAGGGAGAAGTGACTGAATTTGAGTTAAATTAACCATGTCCTATATTTTCTGGCATAATCATTGCCACATCTGCAAGAGTATGCACCCCAGCATTGTTGATGTATTCACATGATGGAATAATAACTAAGGAGACATTGAAAATGTATAATAGATGTATAAAGAATTATGTTTAGTAAATATAATACATAATACTTTCAGGTTATTGATCTCTTTGGATTTGTGTGTATTATTCTAGGTAGAGTTTATAAGAGTATCTTGGAAGTTTTAAATATGTGCCATTTACTGAAATGCGGGAAGCATTTTTATACAAGTAAAGCTAATTAAATAAAACTAGTTTTATTGCCAGAATTCAAAAAGTGGGGTGGTTCTTTGTAAAATTTAAGCAAATGATCTATCTTTCTGAGGATTTTGTTTGTCATTGAATTCCATTTGTATCCACTTTAAATTTACTAAAAGCTACTTAACCCCCTTAATATGTGATACAGGTCATACACACAGAGTAGGCATTATAAATGTTGGTTTAACCACCAATTGGTACTATTTATCAAGCAAAATGGTTCTTAAATAGAGCTTAAGTTTGGGCCAACCTGTGACCTGATAAAATGTTCTACTCATTCTTATTCCATTTCTGTGTAATTTTAAATTTCAGGTTTAATTGTAAATAAAACATTTTTATAGTACCTAACACTGAGATTCTTTTTTTTTTTTTTTTTTGTCTTTTGTCTTTTTTCCGTGTCCGGCAACGGATCACAACCCTCAGTGTTGCCCCCGTACCGGACCGGGGACCGGCAACGGGATCGCAACCCTCGGCGTTGCCCCCGCACCTCGCTCAGCCAGTGAGCGGGAACCGGTCTGTATGTGGGATCCGAACCCTCGGGCGGGAGCGCCGCCATGCTTCCCAAGCGGTGCACTTATCCAGTGCACCACCGGGCCGGCCCACTAACACTGAGATTCTTGAGGACCATTTCCATCCTCCCCCGTTCCCTACCAAAAAAACATTTATACCAAGAAGGCAGAACCTGTATTGTGGGCCGGATGATGTTATCTTTACATGAAGTAATTTCATGAGATTTGTCAAGCATAGTATTTCTCCATTTTGGGAAAAAATGAAATAGAAGTTTCACTTGAAAACTAATGAGTTAAATTCATTTACAGTCTCTTTTCCTGTTAATGAGTTAAATAATGTAGAGAATCGTAGTTCTTCATAAAGGTAGCAAGTTCCGTGCTCTGCTAAACCCACAGTTTTGATTATGGTCAAATTTCCTATGTTGTTATTGTAATAGAACTAAGAGTGTATGCTGGTAAACTACACTACCGTTGCAGTTTGAACATCCTGATTTTAACATTTTATAGTTTTAAAACAAATTGTACTCTCCCATAGTCAGATCATTAACAATATTGTTAAATCAGTGATAGCAATGTCCAAATCTCCCATAACAAAATTTCTTTAATGCAGAGTTTAATAGACTATATTCAAACAATTTTCATTCAATTCGTAAGTGTCCACTAAATGTATATTTTATTCTGCTGTTCTGTTCCTTTGATCATCTGCTCTTGGGTGAGCATCTGCATAACTAAAATAGATAGAGCATAAGTTGTGAATGCTGTTAATTTTTTTTAAGGCTCAAAGGTGATAGTATATAAATAACAGCACATTGCCAAATAAGTTTTTTTCTCATTTTCTAAAACACTTTTAAAAATATTTAATCGTGTAATGATCAGCATTTACGGTGAGTTGGGAGACTTTTTTTAAGTTTTCTTAAATAGTCATAGAAAACATTTAAAGTAGCTCTGGAGCAGGCTCTGTTGTTGAGTCAGTCTAATAATTATTTATAGATCCTTTGGCACAGAATTATTTATAGTTTATAATTCACCCCCATCCAGAGAATGCTGATTTATATTACATAAGTATTGTAAATAGGGCTGAGACCATAGTGAAGCAGAAGAAATCTGAGAGATTCTGCTTATTATATTTGGATATTTTATTGGACTGTGCTTTGTTTGACCACAAACTCCAAGTGGAAACACATTGGGTTACACAACACAGTGATAAAATATGGCAGTGTATACTCACAGGAGATTGGCCTTCATGGAGTTTATAGTGTTAAAAATGTAATGGCATCTATTTCTTTTTTAAATTGATAAATAATATAGACATTTTTCTTTAAAATGGAAGAGTTTGAAAGTGTTTATCAAGTCAGTATGTGTATAACAGTTGAGAGATCAAGTGAGCTTTTCTCATGGCTCATTCAGTTATTGTAGCACAGTAGAGCATCACTAATGTTTATGGTGGTTTTGATTAAAACAGTTTTAAGATATTTGTTTTCTTAATGTATTTTTATTCCATAATGCACCCTTCAGTACAAAGGAAGTGTAAAGTTTACTGATGATGAAATAAAATAAATTGAGGAACATTAAAATAGCTTAAGGTTAAAGCAAGTTGGTGGAGGAATTTGAGGAGAAAGAAGGAATTGTGTGGGAACTCCAACCTAATGCCAAAATATAGCATGATTAGGACAGTGTTGTATACTTTTTGTGGTCATGAATTTAGATGAAGCTAGGCAAACCTATATTGTGATTTTTCTCTAGCAACTTTTCTTTAGCTGCTTGATTGCAGGTATAGAGAATTGCAGTTAGATTTTTAACTATTTTGATGGAAGTAGAAGCAGATCAGGGAGTTGGAGATATTTGTAAAGTGATAATTGTAATACCAGAGCATGGAATTTAAACTATTCAAGGAAGAAATGAAAGGAAATGATAGATGGTAAATGATGGGAAAGTGGTACTGTCTTATGAGTGGAAAGCTGCTATGAAAGTGAGCCTGAAAGATGAGAGAGGGTGATCAGAGGATGCAATGTGTGAAGTCAAGATTTCAGAGATCTAATATTGATGAGAAAAAGTCAAGACCTAGGAAGTGGCTGAGATAGGAGGAGGTGACCTTTGAGATGAGGAATTAAGGATCTGTGAGGACGTGGTTATTCATGTAAGTGTTGAAAAAACGGAGAATGACAAGAAAGGGGGTGACAAGGAAGGTGGCACCAAGGAGAAGGTGGATAGTACAAGGTTTACAGGGTCCATGCTTTAAACAAAAAACTTTGGTTTTATATCAAGAGATCAGTGAATGTGAATATACATTTAGATTTTCTAAGATGAATTAATAATACATAAGTGGTACAGATCATTTCAATGCCTCCTCCGACATCCAAATTGTTAAAAAATTTATATATTTGTCCCATTAGCACAAATTATGAGGGATTTTCGTATACTAAGACAGCTTTCCCACCTTCTCTGAATCTTATGTGTCTTTCCCAGTTTGCTTCCCTGTTTGGCTACTTCTTACTACATTCTTTGCCTCTTCTGGAGCTCATTGATGCTGGGGGGTAGGTAAAGCCTTCGCTGGAAAATCTGAGTCCTGCTCTCTTTTGATGTTTCAGTAAGTGCCAATTCTGGGGTCACTCCTCCTAGTTGGACGCACATCTTATTATTAAGAACACCCTGAATGGTTCCCGTCCTGGTGTGTGGTGGAAAAAAGGAATCTCTGGAGATACTGGTGGTAGAAGGTTTTGCATTCTCAAGTATTTTTCTTTGACTTACCCTGTAGGACTCTTATTTCCTCAGTTTGCTTTGTTCTGGATTTTGGGTGAGAATTCTTAGGATATTGTAAACATTCTTTTCCTACAGTGAGGTGTGTTACGTGCTATTCTAAGCCATATCTAAATCTTGCCTAAATCCGTTTCTTTCCTTGTTAGCATTAAGTTGTGTGCCTTTTCTTCTTTCATGACTGATTTTATTTCTAGTTTTTCCTCCTCCCTCCCTCCCCTGTCCGTTTCTTACTTGTTAAGTTGTGATCCAGCAGTGATCCAGCTTTATTTCATTGTCTTCATCCAGAGTGACCTTACCTTTTCTTGACAGAGACAACAGAAGCCATGAACTTCTCAATACTGTATCTTACAACATGTATGCGTATAATAAGCATTGTTCCTTTCTTTCCCTCTATTACAGTGGTTTAAATGTCCTGCCGCCCCTCAGGGACTTATCCATTCATATGTATTTCTCCTTCCACCTCTCCTACTCTGTCACTAGTTTTGCATTATTACTGTTTTCCTGTCTTTCTTGTATCTTCATCCTGTCACCCTGTACTCTTTTCACCCACATTTAAATTTGGTTGCACCTTTCATCTTAAACATAAGTGGGTTCTAGGGAGATGGCTTGCTTATGTCTTTAACTCCTTCCCCTGAAACTTTGTGATACCATCTGTCAACTGAGTCTCTTAAACAGCCACTTTGGGGCTGGACCTTTTGGGCAAGCAGAGTGTATACAGTGCCCTGATTCTACCAGAAAAAATATGGAGGGAGAGCTTGTGTTTGATTTTCTTCTTCTCTAATCCAAATGGGGGCCTATAGACCAGCAGCTATGAAGCCACCTACAAGGAGCTGAGTTCCTGAAAGAGCCTCACTGTCAAAGATCCATGGAAAAGTTGTGCAGTTTGCTGGTGTGGTACTAGGAAGACTGTAGCTTCAGAGTACCTATTCGGTTGCTGTGTGGTGGGCTTTTCACTTCTCACCATGAGGCTTGGAGAGGGCAAATAGAGGAAACAGGAAGCAAGGTAGAAGAGATTTTCCCCCTGTTGTCTGTGATGGGGAATGGCAACTTGCTGGTTAATACTTTAGCAGCCCACAGAAGCAGAATAATTGGCTTCTGTTACCATGAGTTTTCTGCCACTCAAAGTATCCCACAGTTTGACTTGTGCCAAAGGGGGAATGAGTGGCGAAAGGAGAATAGTCTAAGGAGAGAAGGAAAACAGCCAGCCTCTAGAGATAGAACACTCAGAAATGGATGATGAAACAGAATTGCTGGTAGAGGTGGATAACAACTTTAATTTTGAAAAAGCACCTGAGAAAATTCAATCATAGCATAAAACAAACTTTCTGGAGGTTAAAACAATACATATTAAAATATGGTAGAAGAAGAGGGGGATGGTCACTATTAAGGACCACAGGGAGAAAAAAGGAAATAGGCTTAGGAGGACATAATTACTAAAATTTCACTAGTTTGAAAGAGCTCTCACTATACAGGTTCTAGGCAACATTGAGGGAGAAAGACACCTAGACAGGTATTTTATTCGAATGTTTATTGTTTACTTTGTGCCAGTGGCAAGTGCTGTTTTAGTTGCTGGGGATGTAGGATGAACAAAGTGTTGGCCATGCCCTCATTGAGTCGGAGGAGAGACAATAAATGATATGTCTCAGATGGCAATAAGTGATACAGAAAAAAAAAAATGAAGCAGAGTGACTAGGCTATTTTGGGATAAGGTAGTGGCAGGATTACTATTTTATGTGGGTGATCAGAGATATCACAGATGAGATGACATTTGAGCAGCAGTTTGAACTAAGGGAGCTAGCCTTGTAAATATCTGGGGAGAAAGCAGCCCAGATAGGGAATAGGAAGTTTGAAAAACCCGAGGCAGGATCATACCTGCTCTCTCAAAGACTGGCAAGTAGGCAAGAGCAGTAAGGTGAGGGCAGAGAGGCAGCAGGACCATGCAGACTGTTGTAAGGCCTTTGGCTTTATTCATTGATACATAGGGGAAGTCATTTGAGGGTTTTTAAGAGGAGTGACATCATGTGATTTTGATTTTCAGAGAGTCACTGACTGCTATTGAAAAATAGATTATGTAGTTAGCAA